TCACATCTCAAGAAAGAACTGAACTCACCATTTTCACCTTTCGCCATATTGGCGTTCCGTTTAGCTCAGGGTTAGTGATCTGCTCCATGAATACCAAGGAGAGTTATAGTAACACCAGGGGAGCGGTATTGTTAATACATTTGATAAGAATTGAATCACTGAACATTTTAGAAGAGAAGGAATGACTGCGGAAGGAGCAAGGGAGGGAGATAGACTAGAAGTGTAACAGCCGGAAAGAAAAACTTTGGGCCAGGGAATTGCCGGGAAGCAAGGCATTGGGTAGGAATGGGGGTCGCCCTCCCCGCCGCCACCTGCGTCTGTGTTGTGCTCTTTGACCGTGTCGTAAACGGCAGGACTTGGGTGCCTGGAGCTTCTCTGGGAACCGAAGCTACTCGTGACCAGAAATTCCCGGCAGATAGGCAAAGGTCGCCTGTAATCCACGGCGGATGGGAACACTCACCTCGAAACAGAAGGCCAGCCCTTCACTTAGCACCAGTGCTGGGGACTCAGTCCCCATAGTACAGGTGCCTGTCCCACCTTGTGCTGCCAGGTGAAGTCCAGTCTCAAGGGCTGCACCAGAAATAAATAGAAGAGCTCTGGTCCACGAGGCACACTAGAGTCTATCAGATCCTCATTTTAGCGTAGGGAGTGCTGTATCAAAGCCACGGCATTTCCCAGTTCAGGAATACTGCCATTGTCCTTTTCACTCTGATACCGTGTCAAAGTGGAGTTGGTGGTGGTCACATGTGCCAGATCTACTGGCACCTTTTTTCTCCCTAGATCGACACTGATACAGGTGTCACCAAAAAACTAACACCCAGCCCAAATCGCTTGTCAAAAATAATTTCCACATAAAAATATAAAAGGCATTCTCTGGTATATGTTTAAAAATAACAGTGCCTTTTTGTATTTTTGTGACATCTCTCGCCCTCTACCTGACATTGTGTGTGACATGCTTATGCCAAGGGTGACAAGTCCCCAAACTCTGCCATCCCCAGGACGGTTATAACGATGACAGTCCCTACACTTTAGCTCTCAGGCTAATTAAATATACATGGAGAGTAAGTCAGTGAACAGCGTGTGAGCAGAGTCCAGAAGCAGCGGTCCCAGACAGAGCGTGTAGTGACAGGGGCTGGGCCTTAGGGGCTGGCATTTGGGGGCAGGGGGCAGTAGAAACTAGAGAAGGAGCAAGAAAGCACAGGGTCTGCTGAGGGGACTTGACGCCACCACGTTGGAAGGCCCTGTGTGCTCACGTAGAGGGGCAGTAGGAGAGATCACCAGAAAGATGTGTCGGAGCCGGATCACAGAGGGACTCGAGTGGCAAGTGGAGGGGTAGGGGTCCTTATCCAAGAGTCAGAGGAGCCACTGGAGATGGCAGGTAACATGCTGAGAGCCAGGTGCCGAGGCTTTTAGAAGGAATGAGCTGAAAATGTAGCTCTTAAAAGTGAAATAGAGGCCGGGCGCGGTGGCTCACGCCTGTAATCCTAGCACTCTGGGAGGCCGAGGCGCGTGGATTGCTCAAGATCAGGAGTTCCAAACCAGTCTGAGCAAGAGCGAGACCCCGTCTCTACTAAAAATAGAAAGAAATTAATTGGCCAACTAAAAATGTATACAGAAAAAATTAGCCAGACATGGTGGCGCATGCCTGTAGTCCCAACTACTCGGTAGGCTGAGGCAGAAGGATCGCTTGAGCCCAGGAGTTTGAGGTTGCTGTGAGCTAGGCTGACGCCATGGAACTCTAGCCCAGGCAACAGAGCGAGACTCTGTCTCAAAAAAAAATAAAAGAAAGTGAAATTGAACATGAGGGAAAACTGGAAATGGGGGGCTTGGTCATCCAGTTGTAAATTGCCTTTTATTGTCAGATAAAAATCATCTCAAGCACAGCTACCTTCCTCCTGGATGTGAATGTCCCATGTTGAATCCAATCAAGAAGCAAAGAATATTCTGATGCTGAATGAACTGTAAAAAAAAAAAAAAAAAAAAAAAAGAAGCAAAGAATAATATTAATAGAACAGTTACTGTTCTGAGAGTGTACGACATAGGAAGTAAGATGCTAAAATAAGCCCTCACTACTCGTAACTTCTGAATCCCAAATTGTATACAGTCCACCAGGGTGTGTGATTCTTCCTGTAAAATGCAGTTGAAATAGGACTTCGTTGAAGCAGCAACAAGTTGAAAGTAACAAAGCCACGTGCAGATGTGTTTGTGGGGTCCTCAGCTGTGTGCCCCCATGGTGTGAGGGCACCGCCTGCCTGGGGTAGCACAAGCTACTCACCTTGGACCTCCACAAAATGACACCTGAAAATCTCGTCATGAATGGCGTCGGTTACAAGTCATCTTTTAAAAAAAGCAACTACCTTTTCTCCAAAGTGTGTTTCAAGAAAGCCTACTTCTTTCGCTTTGAATTCACATACTTACACCCAAACTGCCCTCTCATCACAACAGAAACAGCATTTTTCTCTGGCCTCATAGTCTTGTCTCTTTCATGACAACATCCCAACCCTTAGAGTAAGAATCAATCTCTCTCTTTTTCTTTCTTCCCTCCCTCCCCTTCCTCCTTTTTTTCTTTCCTCCCCTCCCCCCCCCCACACACATTCTTTAACTCCTTTCAGGAGTCATGTGGCCACTCCAAAAGCTGTCTCTGTCCCAGATTCCATCTTGAGGGCCAGCTGTAAACACCCCCAGTTAACCATAGCTTACCCTCCTCACCACGCCCTGTAGCCTTCAAATGCTTCTTTTCACTGTCGCCTCCCCCCATCATGTAAGAAACCATGGCAAAGGGCACAGGAGTGCCTAGTTCTGAGGGCAGTGGCCTAACCAGCTCCCAGTGACCTTGGGTGCCTGGGGTTGGCTATAAGAACAGGAAGAGAGGACTTCCCTTAGGTCAAATTGAACTGCAAGTGGCTTCTTTTCTGAGTCCCAAGTCCTAGGTGAGCCAACTATGTTAAAGTAAAATGCATGTTGTAATTGACATCTGAGCATATTATAATTGACATCTCAGGTAAGCAGTCCCTAATGAAATGTCATATTTAATGACTAATTCCAAAGTTTAGAGAATTCTAAATTGAATCCAGCATTAAACATGTTTTCCTCATGCTCCACTCTAACCTATTGAGAAGTGACTGTTTATTAAATTTAACTGATAAATTCCTTTGATAAATGATAAAATGATAAACATTTTCCATGATTCCAATTACTATAATCGTAAATGCCACCAAGCACATCTATAATAAAGGGACACCCTAAATTCCATGGACATTCCCTGAGAAAGAAAAGAAACACAACTGGCTACTGTACAGTTCATGAACAAGACAAGGAAGATAAACCAAAGCCCGGAGTAGAGCGACCCGGCCAGAGCTTCGGTGTCCTAGTTGGTTCTTAGCTTCTTTACAAAGAAAGACCCCAGAATGGTGCAGGAGCCTCTCCTTGGGCCAGCGGGACGATCCTCTCTCGCCATTGTCCAAATCTCCTTTCCTCCCAGGTTTCCTCTCTGCAGTCATCCACCACCTTTTAAAAAGCTCACAAGGGGAAAGCCTGCATCTGTTGGAGAAGAAATCTGCTCTGAATATTTTGTTTTGGTCTAAAGAGCTTCTCCAGATGAAAAACGTTCCCCTTACCAAGCCAGCAGACCCCAGGAACCGGGGCTGCGGGCCCTGCAGGTAGGAGCCATGCTCCCTGCCCCCAGGAAGAAATACCATGGATGAGACTTTTTAAATCGCTTCCATTTCACTCAGCATTGAGGTTCGCTGGGCCACCCATGGCCACGGGCCTTTTCTTACTAGCTGGTTTTCTTTGGCGAGTGAATCAGGCCTGGGCTGTGCGCTGGAGGCCCAGTCGGCAGTCATGTAGGTGGTGGAAGATGCAGTGTAATGGCGTGAACCCATTGCATCTTGTCTTAAGCAAACTCCATACCAGAGCTAATGGGAGGTTGCCAGGTGCTTGGCCAGAGGGGAGTTGAAGGCAAAGGTGAAAAAATCGGTGGGAACGTGGCCTAAAAGCAGAGCAGGAGAGCGTGTCAAAGCACAGCATTTTTGACAAGAGTCAGAATTGGCTCTATTTTTACCTCCGCAGTTGAGGGTAGACTAGCAGAACCAGGTAGGTATAAACTGCCCCCTGCTGCCTCCCACCGAGAAGTACATTAAAATGTCCACTTGCTTAATAAGAGTTATGTTCTGAAATGCCTGCAGGGAATGGGGAGCCTACTGGGGGCGTGGCGGGCAGATTCGGAGAATCCGTGGACATCACAGGTCACCTAGATTCTCTCCGACGTGAAGATGAAGGAAGGCTGAGAGAGTTGGATACGCCTCTTAACAAAAGTACTCTTTTCGGGGATTTGGAGAGCTGCCTCATTACTCCTGCGACCTTGTTTCCCGAAATGTGGCCCAGGCGAGTTAGAAATGCTGGCTTTCAGGCCCCTCCCCAGGTCCAGCCAGTTAGAATCTGCATTTTCACGAGATCGCCAGGGGATTCGTGTGCATGTTACCCTGGAGAAGCCCTGAGTTTAACCTCAGAAGGAGCTTAAACCCTGGAGAAGGCCCCCTGTTCCTAAGGTTTGGATCAAATTGAGTGTAGTTTGAGCAGTGAGAACACACAACCCAGTAGGAGAGATTATCCTCTGTTAAGATCGTGAATGTCTCATGTCCTTATTTTCTTGATACTTCTGTTTTATCCATGCTCACGTTGCACTAGCTCTTTAACCAAAGCCACTTGAGCTTGCTGTATTCCACACGATGTGCTATTTTTCAGCAGCAACTGGCATCTGCCAAGCAGTTTCCTTCAAAACCAGTCTGTCCCAGCGAGTGTGTGGCGGGCGTCCGATGGGCTCTCTGGCAGCCTCTGTGTTCACCATCATTCTTGTTTGCTCTGCTCTTTTCTCCCCGTCGCTTGCTCCCCTGCTGCTGCTGCTGTTTGAGAGTCGCATTGTGAGCCTGCAGGATCCAGCTGGCCCCCGGTGGCATGGTCAGCCTGTTGCTAACCTGGAGTTTTCTTTTCCGCGTCAGGTCAGGGAAGAATGCCGGCTCCTGAACGCCCCACCTGTTCCGCCCCGAAGCGCAAAGCCGTTGTCCACCAGCCCCTCCGTCCCTCCTCGCACAGCCAAGCCAGCGCGGCAGCAGACTCGCTCTCCCAGCCCCACCTTGTCCTACTATTCTTCAGGGCTGCACAACATGTAAGTCTCCTTGCCGGGCCCGCCGCAACTTCCCCTCTCACCCGCCAGCCCCCGGGGTTCTTGAGAACGTTTGCAAGGTAGCCATAACCAGGCCAGGAGGGTGGGAGAGGAAGTGCTTCTTTCATTTATTTTTGAAATTGTTTTACTGGGAGAGCATGATGGGGCCCCCGTTGGTTTTGAGCCAGGATGGAAGAGCCGATGTCTTTTGAAGAAAAATGCCACAAGAATCTGTGAGAAATTCAGTGATTAAGGCCAGCTAGATTCTCTTGGGAAAACCCGTGGACCTGCCATCCATTCTCCCAAGTCAGCATCTAGTTTGCTTCGACTTGGACACAGCAGACAGCAGCTTCCATCAGGACTGAGAATTGAAAGGGTCCCACTGGCTCCGTACTCTGAATTTCCACCCAGACAGGAGTCCCTTTTTGACCATTGCTGCTGAGCAGTCATCTCCTCCTGTGCAGATCCTTCTGTGCTGTGAGTTCATTCTTTTGTAGTATAGGTCATTCTACTGTTGGCAAATGCCTATATGTATGTGTGTGTATGTGTGTGTGTGTATGTGTGTGTATATATATATTTTTTAGAAATCCTTTCTAATATCGAGTTGGAATCTATCTCTATGTAACTTTCACCTATTTCTTATGTCTACAAAAACAAAAATAGGTTCTCCCCACTTCTCTTTGTCAACTCATGAAAATTCAGAGTCAGCTATGATATAAGTCTTCTCTTCTCCAGAAAAAACAGCCTCAGTTCCCTCTGCTGTTTCCCCTGACATCGCTGCCGGGTCCCGCATCAGCCTGGTCGCCCACCTTCAAGTCCACCCTAGTTTCACTGTCACTCTTAAAATAGGGCCCCCAGAGCTGAGGGCCTGACACCACGTGTGATCATTACAGTTTACAGTGGCTCTCTTTGCAGGTATTATTTGTTCTCTGGACATTTAAAGCCTTAGGCTAATGTTACTCGATTGTACAGAAACTAAGGAAGGCTAGGATAATTTATTGGAATAAATTTTTTCCTACCTCAGGCTTTTGGCTAGAAATAGAGTCATGGGGTGGTGATGATGTCATCATGTCCTTGTAACACAAGGATGGCAAGCGTGGGGCACCACGTGCCACTTCTTCCCTCCACCCTTGCCCACTGCAGACATCACTAACCAGTCATGCTACCTGTTGGTGCAAAGCCCAAATGTGACTGAAGAATTTTTCTCATCAGAAAGATCCAGGCAGCTACTAACAATGGTTTTCTTATTCACTGAAATCTATATTTTTCCATCTCCACTGTAGGCTTTCAAATCATTATGTACATATCTACATTTACCAATGTATTTAATTACAGATTTGTTTTTAAAATCTCAGTGAGGTTAGTAGGTACTTTATTGAATTCATGTTAAGAAATACTATATTTTTTTTTCCCTAAACTACCCTTTTCTACCCAGCAATAACATTCATGAAAAATGAAAGCCTTGGAGTGAGGCTTTTTTCTTTAATACTAATTTTATTTTCTCTTTGCTTTGAAGCAGCGTTACTAAAAGTGACACAAGTCCTTCTGAAAGTGCTCCTGTGTCCTGCTATCCATGTAGCCGAGTGAAGACGGATTCCGTGGACCTGAAGTCCCCGTTTGGAAGTCCCTCTGCTGAAGCTCTGTCCTCCCGGCTCTCATGGCCGAACCATTACTCCGGAGCGTCGGAGGGCCAGACCAGGAGTGACTTCCTGCTGGATCCAAGCAGGAGTTACAGTTACCCTAGACAAAAGACACCAGGCACACCAAAGAGAAACTGCCCAGCACCTTTTGATTTTGATGGCTGTGAGCTCTTGGCGAGCGCCCCCAGCTCAACCACTGCGGAATTCAGTAGCAGCGTCTCTGGTTGTCCCAAGTCAGCCAGCTACTCTCTGGAGAGCACAGATGTGAAAACTCTTGCGGCTGGCCCCACAAAGCAGAGCGTATCCTGCCCTGCCTTGCCCCCCAGGGCCCCAAAACCAGTGGAAGAGAAAGCTGCCTCCGAAACATCTCCTTTGCCTCTGAAAATCGATGGTGCTGAGGAAGACCCCAAGTCTGGGTCACCAGATCTCTCTGAGGACCAGTATTTTGTTAAAAAGGGCATGCAGGACATCTTCTCTGTCTCCTACCCTTTCTCATCCCCACTCCACCTCCAGCTGGCCCCCAGATCCTGTGGCGATGGTTCCCCGTGGCAGCCACCTGCTGACCTGTCCGGACTGTCTATAGAGGAAGTGTCCAAGTCATTACGGTTCATTGGTTTGTCCGAAGATGTCATATCCTTCTTTGTTACCGAAAAGATTGATGGGAATTTGCTTGTTCAACTAACAGAAGAAATCCTCTCAGAGGATTTCAAATTGAGCAAACTGCAGGTGAAGAAAATAATGCAATTCATTAATGGCTGGAGGCCCAAAATATAGCCAAATTAACCCCAGCTAGCGTGGAACAAAACTGGCAAATGCGTGTTCTGGAAGGGGTGGGCTGGGACACAATTTCATGTTTTTGCACTAAAAACCTTCTCTGTAAATAGGGATAAGAGAAACTCTTACTATGCAGATTACGTTTTTGAATGGTGAACAGGCTATTTTGTACATCAATAAAAATGCTGTACAGAACACTTGGAGGTGTGCCTTGTACGTCACTCAACACTCAGCAGCTGCTAAAGAAAAAAAAAAAAGGCATGTGCAGAGAAATCATTCTTACCCAAGTAGGTTTATGCAAGAAGGTATGATATTTATTGCAAAATAGCCAAAGCCAAAAGACATAAGAATCTTTAAAGAAAAATACTTCTGAACAGTTCCCTTCTTTCAAGGGGTTGACGTTAGACAATTAACTATATTCTGTACTCTTGTCATTTGGATTGCTTAATGCTAATTGTTTTTTCTCTTGTGCCTGAAAATGTTAGTGGTATGAAATGACACTTCAATGTTACATGCTTGGTGGGGATCTTTTTATCAAAAGGCATTTTCCAAAAGTCATGTGATGATAGAGGCTATATGATGTCCTCAGAAATCATGCAAATCATGACCACAGTAATTTTATCTGTTAACTGCTGCTAATTTTATTAAGCAGAGAGAAAACAAAATATACATATATGTATGTGTGTATATGTATACACGATACACCAATATGTTTTAAACATCATTTTGAGTCTGAGTATTTTAGATAATATCTGTTCACTTTCAACTATCCATTGAGGTTTGGGGACCTTTAACTAAGTTGATTCTCTTAGGAATAGTGGACAGAATGATTCCAAAGATTCTAGCACCCTGTCACTCGAAGCTTATTCTCATTTGGCTTCATCACTGAAAACTTGGAGCAAATCAGTAAAAAGTCTTATTGAAGAATCATTTTAAACCCACTGTGGGGCTTGTTTTTGTGTATAATACTCCCAGGATGGTGTCTGGGGAAATGACAGTTTCTGATGAATGACAGTTCTCGGGTTTGAGGGTCTTTTTCCCCTGGCATCTGATAGAGAGAGGTCTGAAGAGCATTTCTCAGAGTGTTCCCAACTTGCTTCATGCTTTAGGAGAGCTCAGAAATCAGGCATACCATCCTTTATGATTACGCGTGCTCCATCTATTGAGCAATTTTTAAAATATCAAGAAGAGGACTTGTTTATTTCATAAACCTCTTCTTCCCCCATTTCCAAAGAAAATACATTATTACCGTACTTTGATTCCAAGAATTCCAGGGCATTAGTCTGACGATTTTTGCTAAAAGGGATTAAATATTCCAAAATATAATCAGCATCGTTCTTGACTTTTTGAAAGAATGTAAATCTTAGAGAAGTTTCAGTTCTCTGAGCAGTGCATCTGGCCTACTAGCCCCTCCACCCCGAGTCTGTCCCGGATTCCAGATGTACAGACAGTCTGTGACCGAGGTACACACTGTGGCCTCTTGGGTGGTTTAGCCAACAAGGTGGCAGGATGACTTGCAGGATCGGGTTATATTTTATCATCTCTTCCTGCTCACCAGAATAAATAAATAAATTTAAAGACAAGACCCACCAGTCTAGTTTTGTAGACTTGCAATATATGTCTTTATTCCTTTGCATTAGGAAGATTATTTTTAACCCTTCTCATGGTTTAGAGTTAAGGTGAATTGACACCTATTCTAATTTTCCCTCTAGATCTCCTTTAAAAAAAAAAAGGCATTTTTTTTCTCCTAACATATCTCCCAAACTGTACATATAATACTATACTCTAGGTAAAAAAGAGTACCCTGTAAATTCCTCAAACTGGAGCACCTCTTCAAAAGTAACTGGCAGGTCTATGAAGAAGTGTCAGGTACTGCACTCACAGGACATGAGATTGAGGAGACCTCCATGTTCAGAAGGCATCATTCTGTGTCAGGGGAACTACCCCCCTTACTAAAGTTAACCTCTCAGAACTTCTTTTTTAAAATAAAAACAGAAAAGATGCATTCGCCAAGCTGCATGTTTTCATTGGGAATCCCTTGCTGAATCAGTTTTAAAACACTCAGCACTTGGACAAAATTCTCCAATTCAGGAGGGAGCAACAGGGTTGGTTTGGGTTTCCATTGAAGGCTGCCCCACAGAAACAACTGAATTCTATTTTTTCTTTTGCAAGAACTTTACACAAAATAGAGTTGTTTTCTTTTTGTTCATTTGTTCTAGCTCTTGGCATATTTATGTCAAGTTTATACTGATTGGCAGTAGGGAGCCTCCTTGAGGGCAGGGATTATGGCCTTTGATCCATTGATGCATTTAACATTTAGTGAGCACTATGCTGGTATCGCTCTGTGATGCTGGGGAAGAGACGCAGCCCCTGCCCTCTTAGAGCTCATTGTTGTTTGCATTTAAAATCACAGTTGCTAGGACTGTATGTGTGGGTAAGGGAGACTTGAAATCTTCTGGGCAGCTGGATGCGTGGAGAGTTAGTGCATCATGTCTTTAAGGAATCCACAGATGAAAGAAATGGCAGCCTCTATAAAAGGGCTCTGTTCATAAGCACCACGTGACCATTAAGACAAGGTGTGTGTTGAGGGCAGGAAGTATCTCTGTCCCTCACTGCCTAGTAGATTTTTTAAAAAAAAAAACTGACCTGAACGTTTTAAATTGTACTGAATACCTTCTGGCAAAACGACACATGTAATGGCCATTCCTGAGCTGAGCACCTGTCTGTGGAGGACCTTGGCACCCAGACTAGACGAGGCATTCACAGCCCCGAGAGAATCCCGGCAACAAATGCAGAGGAGGGTGAGAAGGAGACAGCCCTTCCCTCCTGAGAGCTGCGGTTTTGCAGTGAAAAGCGACGTACAGAGATCCCCACGAGCAGAACCTTGCGACCTTTTTGGGGATCCTTAAATTTCATGGCAAAAGTCATCATGGCCCCCGTCAGAACAGAAAATCAGCAATAAACCGATCCAAGCAGCTAAAAACGTACCATGTGGACCTGACTCACGTTGGGAGGGAGGACTCCAGCACTCACAGATCAGTTCCTCCTCAGAATCTTGTAAACGCCTGCAAGTTCTCTCTTCTTTAAGTTGGGCTGCTCAGCTTTTATGAACTGTGAAATTTACACTTAACACTCTTCCAACCCACATTTACCATTCCAGTTTATGAAGTTGCAGGAAGCTGCCCATTGAGCTAAATTGCAGTGTTTTTTCTTGTCTCGTGTAGGAACACAACAATCTTATGGCAGTCCGTTTCAGCTGTTTTCAGACACAGGCACAAACAGCCTCTGTTCACATTCCAGAACCACCCGTACGTTATCCATGCAGCTCCCTGAGAAATTTAGGAGTTGGGTGTAGATAAATACAGAGTCCTTCATCTTCCAAACACTTTGTATAAGTCGCTCCTCATCATGCCTAAGGAGTATAAAGATTAACATTTTGAATAACTGGAAAACAAAATAGTCCTCCAAAGAACTGTTCAAAGGAAACTTCAATTTCTGTCTACAGAAAAAGTTAAATCTGCTGTTGGGCACAGGAGGTTTTCAGAAACACGTCCATTGTATCAATTTTCACTATTTTTCAAGTAATAGAATTGTGCCAGGCTGCTAGGGCAAGAAGAATAAAAGGCCCAGAGTTCAAATGATGGGAAGTAGGACTTGTATACTGTGGGGTTGTAATATTACGGTATTCTTATGGCCACATCGTGTTAAATCACATTGTTTTGTCTTCAGAACTTGGTGTTTTAAAATGTGTCTCATTGTGATAGCCGGAAAAGGAGTAAACGTGATTTCAGTTACAACTATACAAATATCTTCTGTCATTTTGCTGCTCTAATTTTTAGGTTATAAATTTTGTGATAGAGCTGATCAGATCAGATTACGAATTTCCTTTGTTTACAATCTCATATAGTAGGGCTCAGATAATTTCTTAACTGTAAACCCTTTCTCCCACTTTTTTTATTAAATTCCATTTAAAAATATTGTTTAAGGTAAGCCTAAAAATTGGATTCAATGAATTAATTTGAGGGAGTTTTCATTAAATGGAAAATGTATTCTTTTCAAAGAATTTTGGAACCATCTTTACAATTCCTTTGCTTGGAAAAACGTGGGTTTTTAACTACTAGTTAACCGTTGCATTACTCTCCAGAGCATTATCTAATGGGCCCAGTGTGTACCTCAAGATAAACACGGTATGTTATGTCTAAAAAATGCATTGTCTGTTGATTTAAATGATTCTGAAATGTCTATAAATAAAGAAATTTTCGAAGTTACTTTCGTTGCAGTTGTTCCTCAGTGTGTCAGACTTAGGGCATAGTTTTCTAGGACTTCTGTTCCCCATCCTCATTATGGAGTAGGGAATCTGTCCGAACGGCAGTGGGGAGTCCGGATACTGCAGGCTCGTTCTGTGTTGTTAAGACAGGGAAGACGGTGGCTTTTGGATGTCACCAGATAATGCTGGTCACCTCGTGGCATTCAAAGAGAATCCAATACCTGTATGGGCAGGAGACTTAGCAGAAGATGGATACAGATCCACTCATGAGCTTTTAAAAAAAGTGTACGTATTTCAGTGGGGAGAAGAAAGATATTACAAATTCATATCTCTTTGGCTTACATCCAGTTTAATGTATGTGATTACAACTGGCATAAACAGTGAGCAGAGATGGTCGAGGGGACTAGAGAAGTCATGAGCATTATTCACTGAGCGGGATCCACTGATAAGTTTCACAGAGGAGCTGGAGAATTCCAAGTGGAGGTTTGTTGAGAGAGCTTTTATTTTACTCAGAAGAGTGTGAGATAGTTTCCCAACATCTCATGCCCTGAATCTTCCTGTCTTCTTTTACTAGACTAAAAGCATCCCCAAATCACTCATTCCATTTTATACTTAAGCCTTTAACCCTTCTCTCCTATTGCATAGGGATAAAGCCTGTGACTAGGCCGGGTGCGGTGGCTCACGCCTGTAATCCTAGCACTCTGGGAGGCCGAGACGGCGGATTGCTCGAGGTCAGGAGTTCAAAACCAGCCTGAGCAAGAGCGAGACCCTGTCTCTACTATAAATAGATAGAAATTAATTGGTCAACTAATATATATAGAAAAAATTAGCCGGGCATGGTGGCGCATGCCTGTAGTCCCAGCTACTCGGGAGGCTGAGGCAGCAGGATCCCTTGAGCCCAGGAGTTTGAGGTTGCTGTGAGCTAGGCTGATGCCATGGCACTCACTCTAGCCTGGGCAACAAACGAGACTCTTGCTCAAAAAAAAAAAAAAAAATCTGTGACTAACCGCATAAATGTGCACCAGAAGAACATATAGGCTTTGTGTAGGGCTCTATCTGAGGGCCTTGGAGTACTTCATCAAGTACATGCTAGGACATTTGACTCCCCCAATTGATATTGCAAAGTAAATTTGAGTATAAGAAATAAGTTGGTGTAGAATCCATCATCCTCCAATTCATTACATGTCTGAAGTTAAATGAAGCCAGATCACTGAAAACAGTAAGTGCTGGATAAATTATTATTTCATTGAAATGATTTTTCCCTTAAGATGTGCCTGGTCCCTCCTTGCTTAGATAATTCATGTATGTCCTTCAGGATTTACCAAGTGTCATCCTCAAGCTGATTAGGTTTCACTTCTCTGCACTAATACAGTTCCCTGTGCATATCTCTGTCCCTTTGTAAGCTGTAAACTCCTTGGTATCAGGGGCTTACGTCTTCATTGCTGTATCTCCAAAAGTCAGCGCTACTTGAGGTTCTATGGAATGACAGCATGAATGCCATCACATTCCGGAACCAGTCTTTGTGTCATCAAAGTCACTATTCTGCAGCCATGTGACAAAACAAAGTAAAGTCAAATGAATGATACCAGTGCAACTTGTACTTGTCATAAAATATCTGAGTATACTAAAAGAGCAAGATAATGAACTTGTTTAGAGATCCCAGGTTGAATTTGAGTCTTTTGCAAGAGACTCAAGAAAAATAAATTTTTCTTACGATAGAGTTAAGCCTATGACTTTCATTTTCAGATGGGTACAAAAATGAACCAGAAAGATCAGTGTGTTCCCATAGATGGACTCAAATATTAGCTCTAAAAGACACAGGCAATTGAAAAGCAGTAGATATGGTTGAAAGACCTACGCTAAGAGTGAGCTCGGGGCCAGAGGCTGTAATGGGGGAAGATAAAAAACGCAGATGCTGTGTGCTCAGGAGTACAGCTGGCCAGGAGACATGGTGCACGGCATAGACAGTACCATCCGTGGCCAGACTGTAGATGGTTAGAGCCGAGGGGGACCTTGGAAATGACCTGGTCCCTCCTCTTACCTTCATAGGAATGAAACCCAGGGAGGGTGGTGACTTTCCACAGATAGCACCAAAGCTAGAAATAAAATCTCCTGGTTACCCATGTTGTATCTATTCCCTTCCAACACCATCTCCCAATTTCCTCGACTTTTAAATTTCAAAAATAATTTTAATGGTTTTTGTTTGTTTGTTTGTTTGTTTGTTTGTTTGTTTGTTTTTTAGTGCATGGAATGCCCTACCCTGATTCTCCAACTTATTTGTTCTTAAGCTAAAAATCAGAAGGCAATTCTCAAACTGTGCTCCCCAGTCGGTGCTAGGTGGAAATCAAGGGAAACTGCTCCTGCTTATGAAATGGGGGCTCTAAAAAGTACATCTGCTCTTTGATTAAAAAGGATGATTCAGTGAAGATATTAAATCAGACAGGAATAACAGAGAAAAGTGTAAAATAGTCTGCGGCCATACCACCCTGAACGCGCCCGATCTAATCTGATCTCGGAAGCCTGGTTAGTACTTGGATGGGAGAAAAGAATAAAATAGGCTCACAGCGCACACAGCTTGCGTCCCTCTGTATCCAGGGTAGCTGCTTGGAAGAATTTACAAACTGCTGCGCCCAGGTAGAGAAGTGCCTGCAGTACTAAATGTGGCCACAAGGTGCCGGGCTTTTCCGCCCACTCAGTGACTGCGGAGGCTTACCCCGCAAACCCATAATAATGGAGCGCAGTGGCCGGTCCAGGGTCGGTCCAGGGTAAAATTGCCAGTTCAACCATCTTGGAGGTCTCTGTCTTGCCATCAGTCTCTTTTTGGCTTTCCTCAGTTAGCCAAAGGCATTGGAATCCTGAAGTTATGGAAAGGAACAGAAGTGGCTCAGGAGGGATAGGGAATTTGGAAGTGGGGCACTGTGTGTTTTCAAGCCGGATGTCCACTGGGGAAGAGAGCACAGGGATTTTCAAAGTGCAAAGCTGACCTGTCGTGTGCCTTGCTGCTTCTCGGATCTGAGTCTCTGGAATTTCGAAAGTGAATAATGTGAGTCAGAAGCTCTGGAGTAAGAAAAGAAGTTGTGCTTTTCTTATTATTATTTCATTGGTTGGTTTGGGGCAACAAAACCATCAGCATGAAACAAAAATCTGTCGAGTATTACACTAAAGCTGACATTCAAGTTTGGATAGAGAAGGCTCATCGCCCCCCTCCTCCTTCACCTGCAAACTGTTAACTCACCTGACTGAGCCTAGAAGGAAGGACAAAGAAAAAAATAAATCCTAACTAAGAAAAAGAAAATAAACTACAGTGTTTGCATAATCATGTTTCTGCTTCATTCTTTATGCTCTTTACTGCTCTCGGTAGCACAGTTATTGACGAAGTCAGTCTCTTTTTCAATCCATCTTTTAAGAAGATGACTGATTTTTAGAAATCCAGTAAACTACCAACAATTTTACTTTTCATAGTGTAGGTTGCCATCTTGAAGCAGTATAATTGCCAGTTCCAGTTTTCTTTTATATTTTTTTCTTTTTGTACAACATCCCATTGTCAATACACAGTTTTCATATGACCATATTTATCTGTTTTTATCTCACTTCAGTGATTCATGAATAAGGGTTGTGGAGAAATGTGATTGTTCTGAGAGTGGACTGTAGTTCACAGAAATTCAGTTCTTCTCACTGTAAAATGGTCTGCTCCACTGATTTTATGAGATTTTTGGTTGTTGTGTCTTTTGTTTGTTTGTTTGTTTGTTTGTTTTTTTAATTTTACTGCTGTCCTACACACTAAGGATGTTGCTTTTGGTTTCTTGCCTATATGAAGACCATGGAATTATGCCAGTTCTGCATATATATTCTGTTTGCCACCATCTAAAGTTGAAAAAGCTTAACAATGTAAATTACCATTGTACCAATGAAGCAAATGTAATCTTGAGAAGCCACAGAACTGATCTCCCATCCTTGGGACAGAATCATTCACGAACCCACCTAGTCTCAAAATCTAAGTCCTGGACAGGAATTAAATTCTCTCACACTGTGATGATCTACTCCTGTATTTAAAGCTCCCCAGCATGGGAGGCCCCATTCCTACACTGAACAATTCTCCCTTCTGTGCTTTATTTTGCAACTTAAACTGCTCACCCAATTTTATGATATGTGAATTATATCCCAGTTGTTGTTTTTTTTTTTTTAATGTTCACCTATTCCTTACTGGAGATCAACTGTGAATCGGGTCATTTTCTGTCATATTCTTTCTCAGACCTAGAGATTATTACTTTTCTTCCTAGTTTTCCTATTAGATGAGAATAGCCCTTGCATTCTCGTCACTGTGATTCTGCTGTGTACACACCAGTTATCTGGAGCGTGGTGATTTCCTTATTTTAGTCATCCTGGATGATGGAAGGATGTGGAAGTTATTTGTTCTAGCAGAAGGAAAAGGCAATCTGTAGAGATACCACTATACTAGTTACTTATAAAGGACTATGATCCATTTATCAGTTAATCATTGACAGTTTTTTATTTGGAAAGCTGAGATAACTAACTTATCTTTCACAGATAACTCACTGGAAAAGAATAGTTCGAAATGTGGAGTGGGAAAATGAAGTGCACATTCTCCTTATTCAGTTAACTCTTAGGTGTATTTCACCAGCATTAATGCCTGAGGGGGGAAATGCTGTTGTTTGACCTTTGCCAGTTTCTTTGAGAGGTGTATTGTTTTGTGTTTCTTTGTCTTACCATGTTGCTAATATGGATCAACTTTAGAGCATCCGTCTTCTGCCCACTGGCTTTGTCGCCTCCTGATTATTGCCTAGTGTCAGGGTGTGATTTTGTTTTAGGAAGAGAATAAAGAAGTCAGCCCCTCAGTGCTAGAGAGAGGAACTTGCTGCAAACACAGCCAGCCCTTGGGGATCCCAGCACTGTGGATTAGCCACTACCAGACTCCTTTACCTCCTGACCTAATACAGCTGCTCTCTCCTAACTCACTGTTCTCTGAAAGAAAGGACTCCG